CCCTTCCACCGATGGAGAAGTTCGAGAAGGCCAGGGCTTTTGCTCTGACCTTTATCGGCCGGTCTCAAGTCCAGGTACGTTGGTTTCTCAGTTTTCTGGGATATCTCAACGCCCTGGCCGATGTGGTCCCCTTAGGGAGACTTCACATCAGGCCTCTCCAGATGTTTCTCCTTGCCAACTGGGTCCCTTCTTCAAGGGATTGGGAAGCCTTGCTTCCTCTGAACCAGTCGGTCAAGGAGTACGCACGCTGGTGGACTCATCAGGACAATGTTCTCCGAGGGGTTCCTTTGTCCAAGCCAGTTCCCACTATGACCCTGTACACGGATGCATCCATGACAGGGTGGGGAGCTTATCTCGACGGGCGTTGCCAGTCGGGGGAGTGGTCTGGGGAACAGCTCTCGGAGCACAGCAATGTGCTCGAGATGAGGGCTGTTCTGTTGGCTCTGCAGTCTTTTCGGGAGATCCTGCATTCCAAGGTGGTTTGTGTGGCTACGGACAACACTACGGTTGTCGCGTATCTGGAGAGACAGGGGGGAACCAGGTCTCACACCCTGTGTGCCCTCGCTATCCGCATTCTGCTTCTATGTCAGGAAATGCAGTTGACAATTTGTGTCAAGCATCTGCCAGGCAGGTTGAATGTTCTGGCGGATACTCTTTCCAGGCGCCGCCAGCCGGTTTTGACAGAGTGGCAACTGAATCCCTCGATTTTCGTGGGAATTTGTCAGGTGTGGGACAGGCCTCACATAGACCTGTTCGCCACTTCACTGAACAATCAGTTGCCAACGTTTGTCTCTCCGGTACCAGATCCAAGGGCTTGGGCCGTGGACGCTCTGTCTCTGGATTGGGAGGGAATGCATGCATATGCATTCCCACCCTTCAACATGGTGGGCAGGGTGCTGCAGAAGTTTCGGGAGCATCAGTGTTCCCTCCTCCTGATAGCGCCCCTGTGGCCGAGGCAGCCTTGGTTTCCGGAGCTTTTGTCGCTTCTGGTGGAAGAGCCCCTGGCTCTTCCTCTCAGAGCGAACCTCCTTCGCCAGCCTCGTTCCAGGACGATGCACTCTCGTCCGGAGATCCTCCACCTTCACGCGTGGAAGCTATCTCAGGAGGCCTCGCTCAGGCGGGCTTTTCTAGGGACGTGTCAGATCGCATCGCTCGATCAATTAGGGCTTCCTCATCTGCCGTCTACCAGTCACGATGGAAGATTTACTGTGATTGGTGTGTCGGCAGGAAGGTTGATCCGATCAAGGCTACTGTCCAGGTGATTGCGGACTTCCTTCTTTGGCTGTTTAGGGACCGCAATCTTGCCCCTGGCACTATCGCTGGTTATCGCACGGCCATTGCTAGTGTTCTCTCTGTTCATGGTAGGTCGGAGGTAGGCTCGTCCTCCTCTCTTTCTGCCTTGATTAGGGGGTTTGGGTTGGACAGGCCTAGGGTCCGGCAGTTGGCTCCGCAGTGGAATTTGCCACTGGTGCTCGAATCGCTGATGCGGGCACCTTATGAGCCTTTAGCGTCTGCCTCCTTGAAGTTTGTTACTTACAAGGTGGTATTCCTTGTTGCCCTGGCCTCAGGTCGAAGGAGGAGTGAGATTCATGCCTTGTCTTCTCACCCCTCTTGCCTCCGATGGTCCAGGAATTACTCTGCCGTTACCCTTCTCACTGATCCTGCCTTTATGGCTAAGAATCAGGTTCCTGGCTTCTCGCCCGATCCGATTAAGATTCCGTCTTTGACTGCCTTCGTTGGAGCTGAGGAACGGGATAGGTTGCTCTGTCCCTGTCGGGCGCTTAGGTTTTACCTCGATAAAACCAGGGGGGGGCGAGGTCCTCGATCTCGTCTGTTTTTGCCCATTAAGCAGGGTCAACAGGATATCTCTTCTCAGTCAGTGTCTAGATGGATCTGTCAGGTCATCAAGTACGGTTACGACCACTCGGATGATCAGGTTCGGGCGTTGTATAAGGTGAGAGCTCATGAGATCAGGGCCCTTGCTGCGTCATGGGCCCTCCTCAATGGGTCCCCCTTTCAGGAGGTCATGTCCGCAGCTTTCTGGCGCGGACAGACTACCTTCACGGATTTTTATCTCCGGTCCTTGGCCTCTCATTCTGATGGATTGTATTCCCTTGGACCGGTGGTGGTTGCACAGTCTGTGGCTGTTCCTCCACAGTAATTCAGTGATTTTAAATAGTATGCTATCAGGCACCACGGTGGTACACCTGCTCGTTTCACGGGGAGGTTTTCCATTTTTTAATTACTTTCGGGGCTTTATTAGGGGGGTTCCTTGAACCTTTTCCCTACCTTGAGCATGTCTCGAGTTTGTTCCGTCAGCCTGGTCTGCCTGGATTCGAAGCCTCCACTACGGTAAGACGAATTCGCATACTAAAGTTATGGTAATTATTACTGAAATGAAATTGAGGTTTTTGAAGTAAAACCAATTTTCATGATGTAATACTTACCATAACTTTATGGAGTCCCACCCTGTATTCCTCCCCTTGCCTCCTCATCCTGGCTGCCTTTAGGCTCCATAAAAGGGGGTTTGAGGAAGGGAGATCACTCCGTGGCTCTGTCATCGAGATAGAGGTTACGTCACGGTAGGGAGGTAGGGATATTTGAATCTTTTGTTTTTGGGCTACAAAGATGGGTGTAGGTATTGTATATGCATACTAAAGTTATGGTAAGTATTACATCATGAAAATTGGTTTTACTTCAAAAACCTCAAGTTAATCGGCGGAAGATAAAAAATCTGCATCGCCCTTTGATCGACGTGCACAACGAATTGCTCTCGTCTTTTATATATAAAAACAGCACATCTGAAAGCGACATTACCGGAATTCGGAAGGCAGAGCGCTTTCTCCTAAACAACTGCGAATATTGATTGTATAAAACTGTCAACAAAGTGTGATAAACAATATACGTGTATAAGGTTTATTTACCTCACATCATACAGGCTGTACGGGATACCTTTAATGAGCTATGAAGAAAAAGAGTGAATGGGTTGTGCAAGAAACATATTGAACTAAATACGGAAAAATTATGAAGTAAGAACACGTGACTGTAAACTGATATTGGATTAGAATGAAAACACCCCCACCCCACTTTGTTTAAGAAACATACTTGCACATAATAAATATACATTATCGTCAAAACACAAGACACATAATCAGTACCCAAATTTGACAACAACAGGTACTGACGACAACCCAAAACAAAAGAGAAAGTCACCATGCTACCCGAAGGGCAAGAACTTTTTAGATTCCATGTGGCAGTACCTGTCATGATGTCTCCCGACTAGTTCGGGAAAGTATGGAGGTCACCATCGATCTAACATATGTAATATAAGCTTCCCAAATATAAAAATATAAGTAGCTAGCGTCAAAGGAAAAATCCGAAATAGAAAAATATAAATAGTTACCGTCAAATTAAGCTTCTGAAAGAGAAAACTTTGAGTAGTTACCGTCAAAGTAAGCTTCTGAAAGAGAAACTTTGAGTAGTTACCGTCAAAGTAAGCTTCTGAAAGAAAAAACTTTAAGTTGTTACCGTCAAAGTAAGCTTCTGAAAGAGAAAACTTTGAGTAGTTACCGTCAAAGTAAGCTTCTGAAAGGGAAAACTTTAAGTTGTTACCGTCAGAGTAAGCTTCTGAAAGAGAAAACTTTGAGTAGTTACCGTCAAAGTAAGCTTTCAAATATAAAACACTGGCTAAGTAACATCATTGATCTACAGGAAGCCTATATTTAGAAAAATACTGGTTCTTATGACAAGCTGCGGAAGAGCGAATTAATCGTGGTACGTAAATTCAAAAAATAAGAGAGAATGCATTGTTACTTTTGAAGAAAGAAATTTCACGCTCGTAAATCTAGTGTGGTGGTAAGGTTCACATTATAGTCAAACTATAGGTGAATAAAAATACACGAAAATGGAAAAGAGGAATCAATAGGAATGTTTCATTTTAAGTTCAGGAGAATTAATGAAATGCCACCAGAGAAAGGGAGAGAGAGAAAAAAAAGCACGAGAAATACAAAAAGGAAGCACGAAAAGACAAAGGAATGAAAACAAAATAAAGCATATAATGCAAAATCGACCGAACTGTACCAGAAACATGGAGACATGAGTTTACTATGTGTACTAAGCTTACGTCTAACGTCGTAATAAAGTAATCGATTAGAAAGACGAGGACGGATATTAACACGTGGACTACAAAGCAGTGAATATACCAGGAGAGATTAAAGGCACTATTTTACTGTAGGTTCTTACTTTGTTTGTTTATTCCTAACGATCGCCATTTTCTAATGAAATACTATTGGTATTATATACATGTAGCAGTATCCGTTACAAAGACAACAGAGCACGTCAGGCGATGTTGTACTTAATTAATTAATTAATTTTAGTTTGTCCATAGAATATCTGAGACTAAAATTTCTAATTAGGATATAACAACGTGTTTGCTTAGATGATACTATCCACCATTAATGTGCTTCATCTGACGCATCTTCGATTGAATAAAGACATCGCAACACATCATCAAAGCTGTTCCTCATTTGACTAATAGAAGCCTGCGTAATGCAATAACGTATGTAGCAGTTTGAGCGGGTATGCCCGGATGTTCTGTATCGTAAAACGGTCATTTTCCCCTAACTGTAGTCTTAATTAACGATTATATACTGGGTATAAAAGAAACTGCTCTAACAAACACAGACACGCTGTCCGTTCATCAGTGTAATGCGTATCTCGATGCCAGCGTTCTTGACCTTGAGAGTTAAGTAATCTTAATATTAGGTAAAAACGTCTCTTAGGAACTTGAACTGCCACTCATAATTCACATTTCATTACGTTGACGAACAGCAAAAGCTCTCAAAAAAGCAAAGGTGTCAACGCAACCAAACAGCCAATGGTATTAACATGGCCCGAGGATTCTGAGTAACTCTTGACGAAAAGTGGAATTGATTGTATTTATTTGACACTAAGCAGCAATACATGCTATTTAAACACTGAAGAAAATGTGTTGTCGGAGCATGTTTCGTGTGGTCCTGGTGCTGTTATGGCTTTGTTGTGATACAAAAGCAATCGAAAATGTCACATCGTATGATGGTTCTACGGAAACATCGACAACTTATTCAAAGTCGGAAGAAAACAACGTTTCAATAACTTGCAAGCAGGTCACCTCGACTAATACAAGCACAATCAACAGAGAAAAGTGCACATTTACCAATGATACGAAGCGCTCCCAGGTCGTGGACAAGACAACATTACCGTCGCCTATAGATTATGTTGGATATGTGGTAGTGCCCTTGTTTCTGGTGCTGGGGATTTGTGGCAACACTGTGACAATTATAGTGATGCAAAGTAAAATGTTCCGTTATATGACGGTCAGTGTCATTCTCACAGCTTTGTCGATATCGGACACGACGCTCATTGTCCTGCTGCCATTCAACAAGGCCTTTGTAAGGAAACTTCTTGGGTTGGATGTGCGCGCTCTCTCAGAGTCGGGCTGTAAAGCTTTCTTTTGCTTCTTTCGTTCGGCAAAGATGACGTCATCTTGGTTTGTTGTGTTCATCAGTTTGGAACGTTTCTTCGCGGTGTGGTTTCCGTTAAAGATCAAAGTCATATCAACAAAGAAAAACGCATACATCGCCATTGCCTGTGTCCATATCACAATATACTCGCTGAATGGAGTTTGGACATTCTCGTCAATTTTGAAAAACGGGGTCTGTATCCCGAACGTGTCAATCCCAGGCAAAGAGAAACTGACAGAAGGATTTTTATTGGCAGGAACAACAATCTACTCTATAATACCGACATTTATTCTCCTCGTCCTTACACCGTTGACGATTCTGAAGTTATACAGACAGCAGAAAACGAGAGAAATCTTAGCCCAATCTGTCCATGCGAGGAACGACACTGCCAAGACAACGCTGATGTTGTTGGGAGTAAGCATAGCGTATGTTTTCCTTGTTGGGCCCATCACAATTGCCCACTCCGTGGCATTCTTCCGAGAAGAAAACATATTCGAATCAAGAGACCCGGAAGTCGTCACCTTTAGAGAAGCGTCGCAAGTGATGGAACAGCTTAATTACGCAATTAACTTCTTCCTGTACGTGATCTGCAGTAAGAGTTTCCGCGACCGCTGTAAGTACGTATTGAAGTATTCCTGTACACGATGTGGACGACACGAGACAAACGCTACAGGTCACATGACCCCCGCTTACTTAACGAATCCTAACGTCGGCCAACATCCATTGTCCCGATCTTCACAAGGAACAAACCTCAGTAACACTTGACCAGTCGTTTGATGCATTAACATTTTTGTAAAAAACATTTAGAAGTTTTATTATACACTGATTATACACGAGTATGTTTTATATAGTAAGATACTTTAGTCGTTATATAATCAACACACTGTAGAGGGATCAACTAATGACTAAATTACCATGTACCACCTGGACTAACCTTTAAAAGTGAGTCAGTGAGTGTAATTGTTTTTTATTGTCAAAAAAAAAGTGTTTCTGGTTTTATTTTATCATATCAGAAACAGTGAATATTTGTTTCCTCACATCAGAATCAGTGAGTATTGTTATGTTTGTTAAACAGAATAACTAAGTACAGTATTTCTGTCTTTGAAATGTGTGTTGTTCTCTGTTGAAAGAACTTTGCTCACAGTGGGACGATATCACGAGCAGGTATATATTCTACAGCAAAAATGCAGGACAGGAATATTATTATATTCTTAATCAACCCGTGTTAGCATGCTGTAAAATTCTTAAAGCAATACAAATATAGATCCATATTTAAAAAAAGAAAAATCTTAAAATAAATATTGTTAATCATTTTATAGTTTTCGTTACAATACCTGTCAGTGGTACTTTTACCGTAACAATTAGTACGTAATGTTATTCTAATAATATTTTTAATTAGTATTTGTCCCTTAATCGCGTCGTTTTTGCTTTCAAAACAGTCCTATTCATCGAGCTGAAGAAATTTGTTTCGTTAATATTCTACAATTGCAATTTACTATTTAAAAATTGTAAAGACTTTCAAATGTTCAAAATGTACAATGCGGTAACTTTATACAATAAAAAAATAAATGCAGCTATTTGGTTGACAATTTCTTTTTTGCTATTTTTTTCGGTTAATCATTTATATGGTTACGATCAGCTTGCGATGAAGGCGAAAAAGGGAAAAAATAAGTTCGTGAGAAATGATGGTAAATGAGGTATATGATACCAAGAATATGTCGTTTTGCTTGATCGATGATACTGGCAAATGCTTCGTTTTGACTGACAGCGGCTTGCAAAAAATAAACCTTCGAAACTCTTATCATCAATTCTCATAGACTTAAACAGATGATCTTTTCACCTCTCTTGCCAAACTATATTTGTCGTATCCTCAATTTGTGTAGTTCCTGAACAGCAAATTCAGACTGACTGGCCGAAAACCAAACATTTCTTATCTCGGATGCTATTTTATCAAAGTGATCATCCTTCAGGAAAAGTTGAGAAATGCTAATATAGTAGTGATTGATTTTGATAGATATCTATGTTAGTACTGCTTTGATTGATTGTACATTAAAAAAATGATTTTATTTTATTTGCTTGGGTATTATTGAAATTATTAAAATGAATACGATGATTTTCCTAATATAAATATGTCTCTATCGATTAAATAGAAACCAATATGCTTTCATTTATAAATTCATTTGACGAGAACGCAAGGGCGATAACTATGACGTACATACTGCTTTATAGTTAAGATTGTCAACGCATTATGAACATTTATTCACACGTACAATAACTAGGTAAGTTTGAATTTAGACTAAATAATATATTCTAATAACAATCGAAATTCGAGGTATTGTATCAAATATGATGAACAGTAATAAGAAATCAAAATCAATTTCATTCTGCGTTTACGTTTTTTAAATAATATACAATATATTTGTTTAATTTAAACGATTGTGTTGAAACGTGTTACATTGTGTGATGGTCTAAAATATTGCAACAAAACACAGACACAAATACAAAAAGCGTCATTACAGGAGCACAAAATAAATAAAAATAAAAAAACATAGAGTTAACGTAAATACACATCAACAGCAACACATGTAGGAACGAGAGAACCCAAAGAAATAAAATATTGAGCAAACAAAAAAACGGAAGGCAACACCAGCTGGTGAAAGGTAAGTGTTATCTGTACCAATATCAAACAAAATATTACAGATATAAATGTAATTTTTGTAATTGTTTAATTTGTACCAAAATTACATTTGTAAGTACACATACACGAAACAGACACAAAGAAAAGGGTGCGTGACTGACATGTAATCGTACTACAAGCGTTATCTTTAAACTGAGATATTCCTTTTGATAAGAGCACTTGATCGTCGTCAACGTTGAGAGCGTTATAAACACTTCAGATCTTGTTGGTATCACATCTATACTATCCACAATGAAGGTTGTCAGTGTACTGTTATTATGTGCGTTAGGTAGCTATGTTGCTGCTGAGGACAGTAACGTAGATCTAGCCAACAGACTGCAAGCACTCGAGAACGAACGTGTCCAGCTGGAGGCGGAGATCCAACTCTACAGAGAAAAGGCCAAGCATCTACTGGATATCTTCCGGGACGTTCTACACGAAGATGAGGCTCCTTCGTCCTCTTCGGATCAACCAATCACAAAAAGACAGTTAGGTAAAGAATTGTGTTAGTGTGAAATGATTTATTGTTGATCCATTTACATACCTTTTCTATTTATGTGTATATATGTATATTATGATACGAAATGTGACAACTGCATGTTTTTGTTTTACTCCCGTGGCATACTAAAGTATCGTATATTTCGTAAGGTTTGTAGCATACATATGCTATCCCCTGTATAAACACTTCCTTAATAATATAAAGTTTCTCTCAGGAAGCTTATCAGAATATTAAAAATGTGAAATAATTTTTCTCTCCGTGGAGATTTTGTTTCTAAATTACCGGCATATGTGAGAGGTTAAACGTTATGTCTGGTCTTGACTAATAAAGGCGACATGGATCTAAAATTCGGATCAATTACGCGATCGAATTAAAAATTACTGCTTCATTGTGTGTAAACGATTGTTAGCGTTGTTCTATGATATTATGTGGGTAGGGAACTATACAATAAAGGTATGTGGCAACCCAAAGTGCCACTAATGTTACACTAATAATTACCACAAAGATATGTAGACATTTATTGTTTCATACAGGTCGCCATAATCGTACATAAAATATATGGTTTTTTTTTTTAACACAGCTTGTAACACCGCGGCGTCCCAGATCGCCTTCCACGCAAGACTTGCTTCCCAGAAGGTATTCAGCTCCATAAACGAGGATATTGCATACGATGTGGTCCACACCAATATAGGGAATGGCTACAACAGCTCCACCGGTATCTTCACAGCCCCTCGTCAGGGCAACTACCAGCTGATGGCCAGCGCCATGTCCACCGACGGCAACTCGACTGACATCGAGATGGTCCGGTCCTCACACTATCCCTTTACCATTTGCAACACCCATGCCGGTACTTCACACTCGTCCATGGGACTCTGCGTCGCATTCGTCACCTTAGAAGAAAACGAGAACGTGCGCGTGCGGCATTATCTTCACACAAACCAGACACTGGCAGGTGGAAAATACGCATCCTTTTCTGGACACCTGATATAATAACTGATTAAATTAAATTATGATTATGTAATTTTACAATTGAGTAAAGATTATTGATTGTTTCAGTATGGCTGTTTGTTTATTGATCTCTGAGTCTCTAGTAGTATAATATTAGATAATATTAAAACATCTAATGTACGACGATGCAAAGGAAGAGTGCAATCAGGGTCGCCTGGTGGCTATACATTCACTCTCTTTAAATAGACTTGGTGGATTTTGCCATCATGATATGGCGTTAAATTAAGGTTAGCTCCGAGACCATCAGAACTATGAGGAGGTAGAACGGTTGAGCAAACTCAAAAATTGCCTCATTTTGACTACATATTTTTCTCTCTCTTAAAGCCTTTAATTAATAGGTGGTTGGTTAGTCATAGTGATACGGCTCTTAATATCTGTACTTTGTCGGTTACCATTCCGAAGCGTTTGTAGTAGCATCTTTACCTAATCTGGAGAAATGAAAAGTGGACATAATTTCTTAAAAACTTTCTTTGAACATTTCTAATTATAATTGATTCTTTGCATTTTTGTACATCGCAGCAAAATCAAAAGCTGCAATGAATTATTTGATCAAGGGCCTGAGTGAAGAGTATCCTAATTTAACCGAATTGAGGTAAAAAGTGGGGTTTTTCGTGTTCAACATCGACGACGTCAATTATATCAACTGACATTTTATTTTCAACTTTTGCGTTTTGCTAAAAACTGTGCAGTTTCAGTATCGTGTGAAGTACCCATTGCTCTCATATTCATGCATACTGTGTGATCATGAATGTTTACAATTCAATACAAAGTAGATAAACACAGTACCATATAGACGAGTAACTATGACGACTTTCGTAGATTTGAAACTCTTCTAAATACTTTCAGAGTTGTGATTAAGGAACTAAACATATTCATAACTCTATGTTTTGTTTTCAACTACCTCTCTTAAGTCGTAATATTTTTCTTCATCATCAGTGCCAATAACTTTCAATACAAACAGCACGGCAGTACACGTCGCTCCCTTTATACGTAGTAGTAGGCAACAACATAAATCTCCCAGGTTATAGTTAAATTTCAAGTTATCTCCGAAGATATATTTAAATGTCAGATTATCTCCGTGGATATTGTTAAATGTCAGGTCATCTCCGAGGATATATTTAAATGTTAGGTCATTTCCGAGGATATATTTAAATGTCAGGTCATCTCCGAGGATATAGTTAAATGTCAGATCATCTCCGAGGATATATTTAAATGTCAGATCATCTCCGAGGATATATTTAAATGTCAGGTCGTCTCCGAGGATATATTTAAATGTCAGGTCATCTCGGAGGATATATTTAAATGTCAGGTCATCTCCGAGGATATAGTTAAATGTCAGATTATCTCCGAGGATATATTTAAATGTTAGGTTATCTCCGAGGATATGTTTAAATGTTAGGTCATCTCCGAGGATATGTTTAAATGTCAGGTCATCTCCGAGGATATAGTTAAATGTCAGATCATCTCGGAGGATATATTTAAATGTTAGGTCATCTCGGAGGATATATTTAAATGTTAGGTCATCTCCGAGGATATATTTAAATGTCAGATCATCTCCGAGGATATGTTTAAATGTTAGGTTATCTCCGAGGATATATTTAAATGTCAGGTCATCTCCGAGGATATATTTAAGTGTTAGGTTATCTCCGAGGATATATTTAAATGTCAGGTCATCTCCGAGGATATGTTTAAATGTCAGATTATCTCCGAGGATATATTTAAATGTCAGATTATCTCCGAGGATATAGTTAAATGTCAGATTATCTCCGAGGATATAGGTAAGTGTCAGATTATCTCCAAGGATTTAGGTAAATGTCAGATTGTCTCTGAGGATATAGTTAAATGTCAGGTTATCTCCGAGGATATAGTTTAATGTCAGGTTATCACCGAGGATATGAATCAGTATATACAAGCAATTGGTAGTTCACACGGTACTGAAACTGCCCATTTTTTGCCAGAACACACAAGTTGAATAGAAAAGATCAGTTGATATTATTGACTAGTAAAACTGTCACAATATGATATTGCATTTCCCAATAATGCTAAATTAAACCTTGATTTCCTTTGCATTACTGATTGCGACACACCTGTCTTCTACGCACGCCTGTTTAAAGCACAGCATTTCAAGTCTGACGGAAGAGCAAGTCAAGTGATTATTAAGTATGACATAACTTACTCAAAATAGATCACATAACTAGATCATTTCATGTCATGAACAAAAAGTAAATTTGTATTATTCAATAAGTTTGTTTAATAATTCATAAATGTATTTGAAAGAATGGTAAGCCTTAGAATAACAGAAATGCAGAAGGCGGTAAAGAACACGATAAAAGCCATGCTTCCTTGTAGTTTCTTCTCCCTTTATTTGTTAGCGTATTTGTTCGTATATAATATATTCTACTCTCTTGTCAATACACAACACACCCTTCCCCAAAGGTTCTACAAAATTAATATATAAAAACGATGGATTAAGAGTTGTGATATAAAATTAAAGTTAAGGATCTAAGAAAGGTCCGTTTCAAAAATACCCCTTCGTGTGGAAAACACGTGTTGTTTATTAACAGGGAGCATTCCTTGGTCCACAGGTGACATTACTGATTTTGTCAGTTCTTATACTCTGGGATATTTTACATCTGTAGGTCACCAGCAGTGTTCGACATTGCAAAAGGAGTTCACCTTATTAAGTCAGCGATGACCTAGCCCAGACCCGTGTTTCAAGGTACCGAGATAAGAATACCGAGAATTTCTAATAGATTGACTGTCTATTGTACTTTATCTAATAGATGTATACTGTAAAAAAAATACGTATTACGAATTTCAACTGATTTTCAAGAGAATTGATGAATTGCGCACCCACAAAAAGAAACTATAAGTATAGAAACTTCAATTCGAATTCGACTTACAAAATTAGAGCGTAACTGGTTTATTTGATGTGTGTGTGTTGGTGTTTTTGAATTATATTTGTAATCGTGCCTGATACGTCTGAAGAGCGAAGATTGGAACATTATATTTGTTTATTCCGGATGGTTATAGATTGTAGAATACATTACTTTAATTGTATCGCCACTGTCATTATTGCTATTTAAATGGATAAATTATTTTGCTAAATCAAAGCTTGTGACTTTAATCCTTATACTTTTCACGTAGCTACCCCTTTATTTATCTTTGTAAATGTTGAATGCAGTTACTATTTTTATGATACTCACGAAGTATATAGATATTTAAAATTTTAGATAGATTTTCAAGGATTTCAAAGTAATCATTAAAGCTACTCATGAATGTTCATGCATTGGATGTCTTGTAAAATGTTACATTGTAATAAAATAAATACAAAATGAATACATTATAAGCTGTTTATTTGGGAGTAAAATGCACTTAATCTCTTGCTATCAAATGTCCAGAAAACGACGGATAATTATAGCCACCATAAATGTAGGTTCCTCTACCACTGTAATGACGTACGAATACGTCATCACCGGTATTCAGATGAACCATGGAAACACACATGCCGATTTCCATGTCAGGGGCTCCGGCATGCGCACGACATAACATCCGGTTATTGAGGACCATTTCAACATCGACGTAGTAACCGGTGTAGGCGGAAACAGTTGCTATAAACTCGTAGAGACCAGGCGCGGTCGCCTTGAACACGCCGAAGTTTGAATCGTAGGCGTTCCCGACGTTTGTGATGACTGTGTTATACACGATCGTCTGCTTTGGGCTCATGATGCTGTACGAGGTTGATAGGGTGGCATGAAACACCAGAGGGTTGGAAGCACGGGAGGAAGTTGTACTGGATGGGGCAAAGGTTGTCAGTATTTCTGTAAGAGACCAAATTATAACAGATGTAAACTTTATAAAATCAGCGGTTATTGGGAAATATAACACTTCACGATATGACACAAATAAAATATAAATATTACTTTATTATAACTCTTTGGAAAAGAATACATTCGACAACCTACAGAAATGGCAGATGTGTGGTAAAGTTGAACAGCTTCAAAACAATATATATCGTATGATTTGGCTCAATAACTGTTTCTTGACTAACCTCAAACAAAATATCATACAAAGACCTTGAAAAATACGTCGAACGATAATGATTCTGAAAGATACGTTTTTTAAAAAAAAATTTTCAACAAAATACAATTTTACGTAATATATATGTAGCAGAGAAGAAGTATATTCAGAGCTCAAAGACTCAATGCGTTGAAATCAATATTTTTATTTATGTAAGTAATTTGCAGATATCGATACTGTCGGGCTTTTACAAAACCTCTCGTGGAAATCTGATTTGTCGAGACACATTTATATTTCTAACAGTCAAACAAAAATAAGCTAGTGGAAGAGTGCTTTACAAGGATGCACGTACGATACTCTGCACCCTTCCAGACATTGCATACCATTTCTGACGAGTAAATACACAAATGTTTTGTTGATTTTTTCCCCCGAATGATTTGTGTACAAAATTTATTACACATTTGAAACCTCTGAATTTGTTGGCATACATGTATAATGTATATGATTTTCTGTTTTTGCTTTTTTTATCATAATGATTAACATTTTATATCAAAACAGCTAAAGGTCTACTAAAATCAAACTTGAGGAAAACATTTTGTGTCTCCCTCTTTTGGAATTAAGAATGAAATACAAACCGCTTTAAATACCAAAGTTTAATATATAAATGCTATTTAAAATTAAGTTGGATGAATTAACAGTATTGTAAGATCAATTAAAGTACAGTATATGATTTGCCAGAAAAGTGTATCGAAATTGTTGCTTCGAAAAAACATAGAAGATATGTGACTAAATAGCATTCTCGAATTAAAAATATATGGTTTTGTTGCGTTATACACGACAGAAAGTAAAAACACTAGGAAATGCTTAAAATATATTTTCTGTGTTTAAAAATCTTAATAAAAATGCCACTTTGGGAAAGATATATGGATAGTTTATGTCTTTTGTCCGTTTACTTATTATTTTGGCAAACATAACCACAATAGCCTGACCTTTGAAGTTCAGTGAGAACAATTATTTTGTTATTAAGCAAATCATATGGTCATATTCCCTCTCCAAATAAGTAGGTAGGAAGTATAATATATTACTTTTCAAAGCGGTCAAATAGTCTAGTTTTACCATATTCTTGATCGCAAATAAATTGCCAAAAGAAATAATGATTTTCCGCAAGTTTATAATAATAAAATGCATCAGTAAAAACAAAAAGATTCTGTTAATATCAGTTTCATGTGTCGGCTATTTTTAGTGGATTATTTCCAAGCTACATTAGATATTATCATTTTAAGTCTTTAGTAATCGTTTTCATAAATATACGTTAATAATATCAAGTTTGGTATATATGTTTACTATATTGATAGGGTAAGCTATTCATAAGTTGGGGTAATTATACATAACTCTTGCGTTATCCTATTCATCAAGACTTTATAATTATTCTACGTCAATCAAATATATTGCAAAATAGTTTTTTTTCTGTATTTTTGGTTTTATTATATGAAATATTATCAATTAAAACAGATTTTTTTGTTTGCAGTAAATATTTAAGATCGGCAATATATATCAGCACAAATATAGATACATGCACGATTTGTCAGTATGGATAGTAATAATGATGTATTTTAATAGTACCTTTTGGGGACTGTTTTTGTTTAATTTCTGGCAAAAAAAAACCCTGCTCAATGATTTAATATATATCTTGTATAGAATACTTTTTAATACGAAATCCATGTAAAAAGTATAAATCATTAATTCTTACAAAATCATTTTCCACCTTGACAGCACTTGTAATTATATAATATCCTTGCTATTGCACGCTTAATTATCTTAATTCTATATGTGCGATTTTCTAGCAATAATACCTCGATTACATATAGGCCTTCTCATCAAATTATTATGACGAATGGTTATCAAGAGATATTTTAGTCACCGCCAACAGAAAAGAAAAGGAAAGAGTACTTAGCATAACAGTAATACAGATTACCAGTGTTACAACGGGACAGAAGCACAGGTTTACTATCAAATCTTCTACAGCGACCCAACGTTAGTCGCCTCAAACGATCTAGTAGCATCGTGTTGAGCTATCGGTAACCAATACAAGTATATATACTTAGATTCCATTGTTATTTTATATTGTTCTATTCTAACATTGTATTTATCAACTCACAATATGGGTATTACTTTATTATAAAACAAGTCAACAGGCGTAATTTGATATAAATCATCAAATTACACAGATTCCTAAATACGCTATACGCATAATCAAAATTTGGCTCTTTAATATAATAAAAAAAAGATGAAATAATCTTACGTCTTTTGTTGACCTCATCTTCCGGTTGTTTTTCGGTGTCGACTTCCGGCTCCGCCTGGTCTTCGTCGATTGCCTTAACAAGTTGTGCCTTAGCCCTGGCTTTGTCGAGCAGTTGTTGTAATTCAACACCATTTTCATTTATCAAACTCTCAAAATTCTCATACAGAGCTTCAAGTCTGTCTAACCTATCAGATAATTCACTATTTGAAACAGAACCCTTACATGTACCTAGGACACAAAGAAAGATCCCCAACAGAACTGTGACGGCCACCATTTTGAAATTCTAGATCAGAATAGATATTTTAGTTCAATGTTCGTGTATGTTGTGTTGGTGACCTTGGCCTTGTCACTATCTTACAGAGATAAGTTTACAGCAAGACCCGTTAGTAAGCGCCAACCATTCCCTTCATATAAAAGTATGTCACGTCTATCGTAAACAAGTCCCCGACTCTTCACTCTTCCTTACATGAAATATTAGAACACCCCAATCCAAGGCTTCCTCGTATTATCTTCTTAACGTAAACGCGTGATGCAAAATATACAAGAAGAGTATATACATAGATATTGGGAAACACATATTATAGCGTAGAAAATTGATCGCAAATAGATAAACATGGACATTTTTTAACTCACATATATTTACTCAGACATTTACTAGGGTTATTGTTAATTGTATTAATTGAAACCATTGACTATTTGCTGAAGATTGCAACAACAATCTATTTCTTCGATATTTTACATCGATGTGTAAAAAATACGGGTCATTGTTATATATTCTCCTTGTTTGCAACAAACTTTCTAGATGCACGAAACGAGATATATTTTATAATTGAACACTTGAATTGATTCGTAAAAGAAATCTTATTTGAACATCAGATAAAATAATATTTCTTTGGGCACGTTGACGTCTGTAGAGGTACACACGTTTTTATTATTATATTACAGATTTATTGTATCGGTACAGATAAATCATCTGAAATTGACCAAAAAATGCCTTTATGGGGATTTAGCATATATTTCCTTAAATGTTTGGAAGATGCAAACATTTCAAAACCAATCCATTCAATATACGAAAGTTGAAGAAGTAAGTTCTCAAGATAAATAATTAGACTTTAAACATGAGCAATGGTAAAATAATCACCAATTAGTACTTTTTACTGTGTTGAATCCCAGCGGAAACCAATAAGAGATAAGAAATATTGTTTTAATCGTCAAAAATTCAATATTTTCTTAGTAAATTCTTTGACTTAATTATCCTGCGCGGACATTTAATTCAGCATATGTAAACATATTCCCATGCTATATAAGTGTACGTGTGTACTAGACATGACAATGCTCCGTAGGTCAAGCATCAAAACCGTTTGTGTTGTTCAAGATACAAATAATTCTTCATTTAGTTACAAATTTTATTTCATATTAGTTAACAATATCTGCACTGATCAAATGCCCTGAGAAGGACGAATAACCATTCTGTCCACTCAAATGTGTCCCGATTCCATTCAGATGACGAACAATGATATCATCATCTTTGGTAGCGTGTACAATTGCCACACACATACCAATACCCTGGTCAGGTGTGGACGCATGTGCTTTACACAGGGTGGCAGCATTCTTTACCAGCACCACATCAACAAAGTGGTCTTTAGCAGCTGCAATAGTTACTATGAATTCATAAAGCCCACTGTACGGTACCTTGAACACTCCAAAGTTACTGTCGTAGGCTTGACCGATATTTGTGATTACCCGTTCGAACACAATCACCTGTTTGGGGCTCATAATTGGATATACTGTTGCAAGAGACGCCTGGAACACAACCGGCGGTATGACTCGCTCCGTTGTAGTGGGTAAAGTTGTTGTTGTCGGTGTTGTTGTTGTGGTAGGAGTTGTTGTAGTTGTCGTCGGTGTTGTTGTTGTGGTAGGAGTTGTTGTAGTTGTTGTCGGTGTTGTTGTGGTAGGGGTTGTTGTAGTTGTTGTCGGTGTTGTTGTGGTACGGGTTGTTGTAGGTGTTGTGGTTAAAGTTGTTGTAGTTGTAATTGGAGTTATAGTAGGAGTTGTAGTAGGAGTTGTAGTAGGAGTTGTTGTAAGAGTTGTAGTAGGTGTTGCTGTAGGAGTTGTAGTAAGAGTTGTAGTAGGAGTTGCTGTAGGAGTTGTAGTAAGAGTTGTTGTAGGAGTTGTAGTAGGAGTTGTAGTAGGAGTTGTAGTAGGAGTTGTAGTAGGAGTTGTTGTTGAAGACGTGGTTGTAGCAAAGGTCCCAGTTGTTGGCGATGCTCTTTTTCTTAATGTTGTTGTTGGTGAAAACAATATGGCTATAGAAACACCCGCAGGGACACGCTCCTCTCGTTGTTTTGTCGCATATGGAGCAGGCACCTTGTCTCCTCTTGTTCGAATGAAGTTCCTTTTTTCTGTAAATAGCAAATATGAGAAAAAAACCAGGCTGATATGTATATTAACAATGACAAGCAGCACCATTATCACATATACACTATGATAAGCATCTTTCGTGTCTTAATGCACAAACTAACATTACGAATATTCTTGGGTATGCTTAATGCATCAATTGTGGAACGTATAGTAAACCTATTTTGGTATTTGAATTATATACATCTAGTGACATTTGTTTACTTAAACATGTGATGCATTAAGGCGACATTGGGTTAGTACAATAAGGGTATACCATACGTCCCACAATTGATGCATTTAGCATGCATATGTTTATACTTAATGTTATTGTGATGCATTAAGACACGTTGATGGGGTCTAACAAGTGAATAAGTCATTTAGAGAGGAAAGATGTCGAAGCTTCGATTTTGATATTTTATTTCAACATCTTAAGTACATATGTCTAACATTAATAATGTCATGGAAGTCGGCTGCCTTCAAGTGCATTCTTGAATATTACATTTTTAAGCCACTGGAATTAAAACCATCATATATGTTTTATTACTTTTGACACTTGATTTGAGCTTAAATGCCTTGCAAATATTTGTCGTGTGTATTAAAAAAAGTCCCGGGTTCGACTCCTAGAGGAGGCATTTAAAAAATAATGACCTCTGTTACATTGATAAGAATGTAACCAGTTGATTATCAAATATTACAGTTTACGAAGCCCCCCTATAGATATATGCCGTCACAACTAGGTGTTCCAGTATGATTTCCATATGCAAAAAAACTTCGATAATCTTGTCAGTGCACCCATTATCGATATACAGCTGACACTTATATTGGCCATACTTCAAAATTTGAGAAAAGAAGCATACATTCATTCGATGATTATGTAAACTATTTTTCACTGCGCGCAAAGTTCATTCATAAATAACCATGGGCTATTTCACTGTATCTTCAGCTTGTGTGGGGCTTTCAACTACAATAAAGATGGCCCCAAAATAGCTATAACATTAAGATGTCATTGTTGTGTGAAGATGCTCTATGATGCATTGCCTTGCACTTACACACTGAGTGTGGTTTAGTTTCTATTTATAGTGATAGGAAAGCTAAACCACTATGATCTGAATATTACGATATATGTGTTTAATGATGTAACAATAGCTGTGCGACTTAAGCATATCAATTAGCAAATTATCATCACCAGCAAATACTACCCGACTTGACTCGTCGCCGTAAATATTGTGATAGGAAGATAGTTAATTACTTAAGACCGTTATTTGTCGGGTGTATTAAAAAAAGGATAATTTTCTTTAAAACAAAAAAATGATTATCCAACTGGAATTATGTTTACATGATAAGTGTCAATCAATATGGAACATATATTAAATACATATACATGAGAAAGTTAAAGGCGAACGTTCACAAACCAAACACATACACGCACAGGAATATATTCTACCTTCAAGGTGACCTTTCATTGACCCTTCCGTACATGCGTCTTTGATAGTCTGGATATAATCTTCTATCTCTAGGAGTTCCTTCTCCAGAGAATCGTACGAACTCTCCAAATCTTCTAGTTTACCTAATGAATCATGGTGATCTGCCAAATTGCTAAAAACACACGGCAATATTACACAGAGGTAGCAAATGATCTTTGAAACCGATTTCATTATTCACTTTAAGATATCACAATATTTGGAGTCGATGTTTAACAAATTACAGATAGGACAGAAAGATTATGCCTATTGCGGTCTTATCGGGTCAGGTGACTAAGCACACACATACAATCTGCCCTTTTGTTACCATTTAATAATTGGGATTGTCATAAGTTCAAAAAAAAATTAAAGCGAAACGTGTACGTGTAAGTAAAGAATGGTCTGTTAATGGGAGTATAATTATATAAGTCGCAATAAAATTTAGCGAAAAAAAATGGATTGATTATAAGAAACTTTTAATGAAGAGGTTTTTTTTTAAATAAAATAAAAAGTAAAGCTTCGTTTGATTTATATTGAGAGTCTTTTTTAAAATTGAATTTTAATTTTAAATGAAATATGAAATATTTCGTCTCCAAATTGATGGCACCTTTAAACACATGCGCAATTTCTTGGAGATTTTCTCATGCAAGTTTCAACTTTGGCAATGTGGTCATTTTTTTATTTTTATTATACCTGTCGACAGTCAAAACTTAGTAATAATTCGTAAGGTATGTTTAACCTAAACGATATACTTTTTGCATAATGAAAATGATGTTTGAATGTACCCGTATTTCTACTTTTTACATGTCTAGTTTGACAGATGGTATAACATAAGCATATCGCTTTATCATGAACGTTCTGATGTACCTTTAAAGCCTCTTTTACTACCTTTTCATATGGTTTATTGACATGCAAAATATATAACCAATACTTGCTTATTTACGCAACAATCTTTTAACATTTTTGAAGATCTGCCCATGAAACCAAATTTTACTGAACGATATTCGATTTCCAAAACTATTTTTATATTCACTTAAAACTCTTTGTTTTGGTTCTGTTTGAATTCATTGACAGCTTCCACCTAGAGGAATATTACTTAAAAGCTTTTAAAGATGTTGTCAATCGTCTCGACATTACGCCAAATCAGCAGACCGTCTTTAAAACAATTAATTCAAAATTGATATTAGAAAATGTAATGGACTGTATATTGACATGTTTTTATGTTTATACTAGTTTAGCCTTTGGTTGATAGACTATCACTATCGTACCAAAATATTTAAATTCTCTACGACAAAATGTTTAAAATTCAGTGAATAAAGAATTGTACTCTATATATCACTGATCAGATATAATATGGTTATTAATATCAGCAATTTTATTATTTTTGACATAGTGGTATTACCTACTATTTCAGTAGTTAGAATTCCTTGCAGGTTCCACCCTCTGCCCCCCTTCCCTGTAAGGTCCTTTTGCAATATTTTGGATGTACACACTACATCTCATGCATTGTTTACTCTTTACATTTGAATACAAATTGCCAAGCTAACTACAAACTCTCAAATTCCTGTTGTTAGTGAATATTGTTTTTTTTCGACACCGTATTACAATATGTATATAATAAGTAAGAAGAAAATATAATCACTTTCATCTTTGTTGTCCAGTTACTGTTTGTTGTCGCAGTGACAACCTGTGTTTTGTCCTACCGGTCAATGATTTTCCCTGTAGGATGTTATAAAAACATTGTGATGATATTTTCATTCATATCTGTCCGACTGGTTTTCGTTGTTTATAGTTCCCCGTCCTGATTCGTAAACAAAACTAATATATCCAAAAATATACATTTTACAGGCTTGAAACGTTATTTAGTGAGTCAAATTTCCAATGTTATACAGAGCTATAGATGTGACACATTATGGAATGAAAATAGCGTTTTATGAATAATTAGATGAAAATAAGTAAAATAAATAAAATAAATAAAAATAGACTACTATTGTCTGCTTTCACTTAGTTATCGTTCAAAATACCATATACGTTCACTACACAAACAGCTCCTTAGACTACTTTTTGTTATTTATACATGAACATATTCAATTAAAGTAAGTATATGAATTGAACGTTTTCTACCCACCCTGCAGACGCAATAAATAGTAGTATATGAGTAAAAATACAATTAAAGAAAAATGGACATGAACCCCAATATGCAAATGGTGTCAGGTCGCTTCGGGACTTTTTTGTCCGGGTCGTTTCGGGACATCTCGATTATTTTCTACTGTTTGTTTGTTTATCACACGTGTTTATGGTTGTTTTGTTTACAAAAGCAACAACAATTAGAGTAGCTCGTGAGTACCTCAACGAGGGGCTCACTGTTTTCATAGTTTCAACAATGAGGGTTACAAAAACAACAACAATTGGAGGAACTCCGAGTAGCTCTGAGTACCTTAATGAGGATCTCTGTGTATTTGAGGAAAAACATTTTTTTTTATACAAAAATTTATTTCATATTGTTACCTTTGTTTATTTATGTGTTAATTTGTTTATAATTATTTATTGTTACAAACTTTGTTACATATGGTATACATTTTTATATTGTATATTACAAGTTATATGAAATAAAAATAAAATCAAACATTTGTTGTTGTCCTCTTGATTGCAGAGATTTGAAAAAGACAGAAAATGTGTGAAAATGCAGACACACCCTGCTAGTATACATTGTAAAATTTTGTACTTTTAATGTGCAGAATTTACTGTCAGGTTAGTACTTCTGTTAAAGGGAAACTTGATCAAGTTGGCAACATTCATAGGGTAAAATTATGTAAAAATAATTGATTGAAAATTGATATTGACCGCGCGTTCGGTACTTGGTGTTCGTTCCTCTGGATTAGTTTCATCAAATTAACAACATGTTGTCAATCAGGTAAATGTCGGCAGGTACACCTCAAGCAACCCAAGCGTGGCGCTAATTGGCAAAAATAATTATCCCAAACACGCGTATAGGTCGAGGCAACCATATGTCTTGTGTACACATAAATCGTGACGTCATTGCTAATGGGCTACGACGAAAGCTGTGTTTACAGAGATTTTTACGAAACGAGAAAGAGAAATGTTACTTGTGGCAATCATTTATATTTTTGATTATATTTTGTTTATATGTCCCGAAACGACTTGAGTAAGGACTCCCGAAACGACTTGTTACCGAAACGACTAGCATTCAAATTCCAGGGGTGCAGAAAGCGATAGTGAGCGTAACTCCTGAAGTATCGAGGATGACATTCCAAATTACGAAAAGCTGCACATGTCATCAATAACTCTTCTAAGATTACAAGATAAATCATACTCATTGTTGTAATTAGTCATTGATACATATAAATGAGAGACGGTGTTTTTTTTGTTTTTTTTTATTTCTTGCACAATTAATGACAACTGGCGTAAAACTACTCCATCCGATTTAGAAACGATGATGTCAGGAGTCCAGAATATAACGATCGAATACTAAATACAACCAACCATTCACATGACTACCAAATGTTATATATATTTATGCTACCAAATGACCAGAAAAAGCTGGGTAGCCATGTCCGTTGACGTAAACCGACCCTGTAGCATGGTTTCGTACCCAAACGCGATCACCAGAAGCAATGCTCAGAACACTGACACAAACCCCCATTGTTTGGTTCGTTTTTCCAGCTTGTCCATAGCATACGTCAATTCCGTTGTGAAGCATCTCGTAGTCCATGTGGTAGCCTTCACGTGACCACATGGTAGCTACAAACTCGTAGACCCCGCCTATAGGGGCCTGGAATATCCCTGTGAATTTGTCGTATGCATTTCCTACGTTCGTGATGACGTCATCGTACTGTAGGATTTGTTTGGCTCCCAAAGGGAATATAGACTGAGACATCAGAGCATGAAATGCTATTGGTGAGGGCCTGGTGTGACAATCTATAAAACAGTAAAGAGGGTTTTTAGAGCTCTTACTCAATATTACTCATAATATATGTATAGCTTAAACAAGTTTCTAATGACAAAACAGCTGTGTAGAAAGTGTAATTCGGTTTTGGTATACGGTATCTATTACCCTATGTTAACCTTTCTTTCATCTTTCTAGGCAAGAACAAAGAACACATATCAACAAACGTAAAGAGGGTTATTGCAATGTTCACGGAAAAGAGTCAGAAGCGTACCTCAGACCATTATAACTTTTTTCTAAGCGTTCTTATTATGCCATGACATATTATTACAACTTTGCTTCTGGTCTCACAATGTGTTCATTGTACAGGAAGCCAGGTTTATTTAATTACGGAATAGTATCACTGTTATATCAACATATATTTCTGACATGGTGTTGTGTTGTATAATTTTGAGTCATTATGCTTATATGTTTAGTTTTCTATCTTAACCATCCTTTAGATATACTGTTATCGTTTTATCTTGATACGAATCTTTGTATCTTTCCTCTGTCAATTTATCTACGTACATGGTACGTGATTTCAAATTATTTGTCAGATGTATTTGATAGAACCAATTTTTCAGATTAAAAACAAAATCATACACATGCAATATGTTGATTTTGTAATAATCGCGATGTTACATCTAGGACACATGTTTAGAATAGAGTCTTGCTCTAAAGCTTTGTTCATCTTTGTTGTACATTTCATGTATATGTGATTTCATATATCCTGACCTATTTTTGGCAAACGTGCATATGTAAGTCGAATGATAGTGTCGTGTTTTAAGTTTTTGATAAGATTATACTCCACACGTGATCGGTCTGTTGTGTCCATACATCACATGACATAAAATCTATTTTAAATATTCTGCAATGAAAACGCTTTTGCGAAGTATAGCAGGGAAAGTTACTTGTATGAAAATAAATACAAACCCCTGCGTTGACGTGTGTCTGGATCTGCGTAATTGACATGGGAAGTTTTGTCAACATACATCTGGAGGAGGCCGTTGTATGTCTTGATATGGTCGTGTAGTCTCTCCCGAAGTCGAGTGTTCTGGCTTTCCAACTTGGAAATTCGTTCAGAAACATTCGCATTTATCCCATTAAACGAAAGAAAACATAACCCAAATATGAACACATTCAACATTCTCAGATGTTGGTTGATTCGCGGAACTCTCGACCAACTTCAAGATGGCTGTCTGTGAATGACATGGTCGTTATCTACAACATCTCCTAGTTCGTGTAAGTGTTACCTTATACCAGTGTATATAGAAAAGGTTTTCAACCTAATCAGTAATTGAAATGAGTGAGAAAGTAGTATAGTTCGAAGTCGTTGCGATACAGAAATCATATAAGAAAACAAATATCTGGACAACCTCGATATTCCATGGGTTACGCTCCCTAGCGCTCTCTGCATCCCTGGAATACGTCATGACAAAAATGAAGGCACTATACTAGCTGTTTGATTTGTCTCGGGTAAAAGAAATATGACAATTCGCTTTGCTGTTACCTGTCCTTTGATGATTACAAAGGACTGACACCCGACTTCAAGTCCGTTCAATTTAACCCTTTTACTGTCGCAGGATTATTTTGATGTAAATCAAAGGGTCAACTTATGGTAGCACACATTGAAGCTTCGCTTTTGTCATGATTTATTCCAATGGTGCAGAGAACGTGAGCGAGATTACTGGAGTATCGAGAATGATATCTGCATGCCATAAGCTTAAAGTATAACGTACTTGTTTTGGATAATCAAGTATTTAAAGGTTAATGCCATTTTGTGGTTTGAACAATGCATCCTAGTTTTGTTCATATAGACCTGTATCCGAAATGTTTCACCGGAGTCACAAGAAAGCTAAGGATTTAGATGTCATAACATGTTTAACAGATTATTTCTTGAATGAAAGTCCTACAATATGAGTTCAAAAAATTAGAAAATCAATTTCTATCAGAAAATAAAATAAAATCTGTAAGCTGTTCTTGTGTTTTATATAATAAAATGCGTTTTGGTTTAATTATAATGACCCATAAATATATTTCGAGTTTTGGATAATTGGCAACATATGCAACATACACACAAAACTTCAGAACATTTTTATGGTACATGTATCATTCATTTTACACAAATACACGAACATTATATGCACTGCATGGTTACTTCATTTTTTAATCTACCAAATACATATAGCAATCTTCTGTATATGAAATGCATGGGCAGAAAATGTTTTTGTTAGCATTTTTTAATTTTCGCACAATATCATTTGTACCGGAATGATTTTCGTATTTCTTTGAAACTCGAAACGGAAGTGACATCAAAAGAGAGGGAAAGGCGTTAGAAATACACACACACACACAAACATACAGTGATCATGATGTAAGGAGGTATTCCGGAAGTTTTTTGGCTTAAATGACTTAAAAAAATGAAAATAAATGTAGATTACTAACTTTTCAAATAATACCTTATAAGTCTGGACATGAAGACGACTGTAACATTATCTAAGCGTAGATTATGACTTCGCCGGTAGAATACAGTTTGTATTACTACCGTGTCAATATAGGAGACTATTTGTAAAAATTGTTATTCAACTACAAGGTTACGACTCAAAACAACGATAGGACATCATTTTGGTTTGGTTTAGTATTGTTTTACGTCCTATCAAAAGCTATGGTCATTTAAGGACGGCCTCCCCATGCGTGCAAAATGCATGCGTGTGTTTTGGGAGGCTGCGATATCTTCGTGTTTGTCTTCTTGTGATAGCGCGGAACCGATGCCAACTTTATAGTGCTACCTCACTAAAACATACTGCCGACGACACCCAGCAGGACACCCCACCCGGTCACATTATACTGACAACGGGCGAACCAGTCGTGCAACTCCTAAATTGCTGAGCGTTAAGTAGGAGTATTAACTACCATTTTTACATACTCTTGTATGTCTCGGCCAGGGGACAGAACCCAAAGCCTTCCTCACAGGGGCGAACGCTCAACTAAAGGTCAAAAGTGAGGCATTGTCAAGGGAGACATTAGGAAGAAGAAAGTTGTTTAGAAAGAAGAGAAAAGATAAGATCCCAAATTTAGTCCTCTCTTACGATCATGCAATGGGGACAGCAGGTACAATTATTATGCCCTACTTGCAGGGACAAAATGAATGATTTTATAAAATAAAACTAAATGCTGGGATATTGTACCGTGCACATTGTATAAGTGAACGTTGGGTATAATCAGAATCTTTAAATGTCGTTAACATTTTTCCTTCGGTATCACTGCATTAAAATGTATTTCTATAGTATTACCATCAAGGTATAAAATACAATTAATACAAGATATTCTTTATATGATCAATAATAATCCGAAGAATTGATAGATAGCATTGCATAAATTTGTTTGGTTGATAGGAGAGCAATAATATAATATTAATAATAGTAATTTATTAATGAATGTATACCACTCGTACATACACTTAACCCTGACTAGTTTCGAACAAAACTGTTCACACTTAAATGTAATGCGTTATACTGTTATACAAAATGTAGGAGCATATCGCTTTGCATTAAGGTTGCTTATTGTTTAAACATACAAATTGTAAGTATTCATATTTGAGAAAAGAACAGATAGAGAGACGTTACAAATAAAAAAGTGGTAAAAAATATATGCTTAAATTGCGGATCCTGAATTATATATCTTCAGGCATTTCCTCCTTGTGACATTTTATTTTGTCGTAAAGAAATCTACATTCATTCGATTACTTCGATTACTTTCATTACATTTCAATCATTTCGAGCTCCGTAAAACCTTGACCCCATTCACAGAAATCTTGTGAAGGTACTTCTAGGCGACCGAACAGCTGACTCGTTGACACGAACCTTTGTACATTCAACACCTGTGTACGGATGGTCAGATTTCCTTCCTTGTTCGTGCCTATTGATACCAGTGTAAAGGAAGGTCTAAATGATCTGATTGGTTGTCTGGATGTCAATCTGTCACTATCCTTGTTGTCTAAACACCTGGTTTCGACCCACGCTTACTCAGAACAGATAAAGGGTCACAATATTGTATTATACCGATTTTGGACAAGGAAGTATATCTGCATGTGTTCTAAACATAAGCACGCTTCATAACCTTAATCATACGAAATCTTGACCGGTCGAAAATTTACGTAATGTTTATTCATCAAATTTCTTTTCCGGTTAAATATATTGTTTCCATATTACATATTTTAAAAAGTATATACGAATGAAACATTTAATCATTTGTTAAGTTTTTATTCAATGTTAAGTAACAATGCTTTAGATCACAGTTTTTTTTTTAGAACAGACTGTTTATAATTCTGTCAGCTTACAGAGTCGTTAGATGGAGATCCTCATGATTTGAAGCAGATTATGTGACACTGAGTAAGGATGTAGGGTCTTTGAAATGTGGCAAAATCATAAAAACTAAAAATAAAAAGGATCATTAGTTTGAAATTTCAATGAAAACAGGTGAACCTACGTATCCTAATCTTTGGTAAAGTTGTAAGTTGTTTATAACAGTAAAAGATAGATCAAATCATTCCTATGTTATCATTATTAATTCGTATAAACAAATCTTGTATGGATAGTTACACAGACAATTCATTTGTAAAACATGTATTCTTAAAAAAAAGAAAAGGGGGTTGTCTAAACTACGTACAAATAAAAGAATTTGAATTAATACAATTTCCTTTCCAACTATGATATTTCCTTCTTGATTGAAAATAACACACCTGTACACTGGATGTAACTGTTTGCGGTTTCAGGTAAAGGTGAACTTTAAAATATTGTCGTCTACTGTATGACGTAAGATCACCGTTTTACGTATTGAACTTATCTTCAGTGTTCCCTGTCAATCTTAAAATAAAGGTTTCTATCGACATGAATTGTTAACCTGCAATTAATACATTTTCTGTAAATTATGCAAAAATGCAGAACTTTACATAGCTCTTTAATGCTACAACGGAGTGGTTAAATCGTTTTTATTTGTTTGATATTCATTGAAGATGTACATAGAAAATTTGTGACGGAAAAAAACCAAATTAAGTGATGTATTTTTTTTTTTTGGAAGAAACTTTAAAGAAAGCTTTTAAGTCTTAACGCTATAAGAATTTATATTCGGTGACCTTCAGTCCCATTGTTAAAAAAAATCAATCTTCACGAAAAAAAAAAAAAAAAAGTAAATATTCCATGAGTATAATATATAGGAGTGTATGATCCTGGTTTTTAATATTTGAATGAAAATACACAATATACATGTGCAGCGTTTATCTCCGGCTTCTGGAACACCTAGTCTTATTATCCTTTTACTCTCTCAACGGTCGCCATGTAAATCTTCCCCTTTTTTCATATTTCTTCTCGATTTTGAGTTCAAATTATGGTTTTGTTAACACATGTAATAAAATTTGTGGATATCATAAAACAAAACATTAATTTCAATTTGGATACAACTGTAGCACATGAGTAGGTGGCTCAGTGGGGTAGAGCGATAGTCCAAGGTTTGAATTTTGGTCTAGTGCCAATGAGGTTTTAGCTCTCAGAACTGTTTTTGCATATAAGTCCCAAAAAGGTATATTTTTTTTAGAAATGATTTAAAACAGCTATAGTCATGAATAGTTTCCAATGCTTAATTAAGGTTTTTTTAGTTGCTACATTGATGAGGTACAATTAGGATCATACATGTTTAGTAATATGTGTTAAACGACCCAGGCCCAGTTGTATCAAATGCGTTGACAAAGATCTAAGGTAATTATGGCACGTGTGTGAACAAAGACCTGGGTCAGTTGTATCACGGTTGTGATTAAAAACCTGGGCCAGTTGTATCACGTGTGTGAACAAAGATCCGGGTCAGTTGTATCACGTGTGTGAACAAAGACCTGGGCCAGTTGTATCAAGTGTGTTAACAAAGACCTGGGCCAGTTGTATCACTTATGTGAACAGGACCTGTACCAGTTGTATCACGTGTGTGAACAAATATCTGGGCCAGTTGTATCACTTATGTGAACAAGACCTGAACCAGTTGTAAACTGTATCACGTGTGTGAACAAAGACCTGGGTCAGTTGTATCAAGTGTGTGAACAAAGACCTTGGCCAATTGTATCACTTATATGAACAAGACCTGGACCAGTTGTAAACTGTATCACGTGTGTTAACAAAGATCTGGGCCAGTTGTAAACTGTATCACGTGTGTGAACAACGATCCGGGTCAGTTGTATCACGTGTGTGAACAAAGATTAGGGTCAGTTGTATCACGTGTGTAGACAAAGATCCGGGCTAGTTGTATCACGTGTGTGAACAAAGATCCGGGCCAGTTGTATCACGTATGTGAACAAAGATCTGGGCCAGTTGTATCACTTATGTGAAGAAAGACCTGGACCATTTGTATCACGTGTGTGAAAAAAAGATCTGGGTCAGCTGTATCACTTGTGTGAACAAAGACCTGGGCCAGTTGTATCACTTATGTGAACAGGACCTGTACCAGTTGTATCACGTGTGTGAACAAATATCTGGGCCAGTTGTATCACTTATGTGAACACAGATCTGGGCCAGTTGTATCACTTATGTGAAGAAAGACCTGCACCATTTGTATCACGTGTGTGAACAAAGATCCGGGTCAGTTGTATCACGTGTGTGAACAAAGACCTGGGCCAGTTGTATCAAGTGTGTTAACAAAGACCTGGGCAAATTGTATCGCGTGTGTGACCAAATAACTGGGCCAGTTGTGTCACATGTGTGAATAAAGACCGGGGCCAGTTGTATCCCGTGTGTGAACAAAGACCTTGGCCAGTTGTAAACTGTATTACGTGTGTGAACAAAGACCTGGTCCAGTTGTATCACGTGTGTGAGCAAAGACCGGGGCCAGTTGTATCCCGTGTGTAAACAAAGACCGGGGCAAGTTATATCACGTGTGTGAACAAAGACCTGGACCAGTTGTAGCACGTGTGTGGGCAAAGACCGGGGCCATTTGTAGCACGTATGTGAACAAATATCCGGGGCAATTGTATCACATGGTTTAAACAAAGAGCCGAACCAAGTTGTATAATGTGTGTACTGAGAGCGAAAGTGAGCATAACCGCAGGAGTATCGAGGAAGATGTTCGTTGAAATGAAAGACCTGTACGCTAACGTCAGAGACGACTAAACTAATTAATAAAGGTCATTGGAGTGTATTGATAAACGGAAATAGGAAGTACATCCCTAGTTGAAAATCCAATGTAGGGAGACAGTTTCACAATTTCCGCAAATTGTAATGTTTAATATTGAACTGATGAATATTGTATGTTTATTATTGACAGAACAGTGTGTTCTCTCAATATTAAAGTATTTCAAAGCAATCCAGGCATTACCTTAAGAGCTTTTTGCAGAATTGGCAGTTTTGTTCTTTCGCTTTTGCTCAGAAGCAATTGTTAAACATCAAATAAACTTTCTTCTCCTATCTACGCTTTTCGTTTGGCGGTATCTCCCTAGGCACACATCTTCTTATGACCTTAGCTGGTGTGAGGATGGACACTGGTTTGTGAATAAATGATTATAAAACCCTAATATTTCTTAAAACACGAATAAGTTTCTTAATATAACTGTTATCAGTCTTTTATCTCGTATTAAAAGAAATATATATATATATATATATAAAGGAAACTAAATTTTGTAATTCATATTTTTATTTACGTAAAATATCTACACAACAAGATGACCAGCGAATGAAGGATAGTCCATGCCGTTGGCATATGTTCCCCTGCCTCTGAGATGTCGGACCCATACCCTGTCTCCCGCGGAGAGTTCCACCATGCTGACACACGTCCCCATGGTCTGGTTAGTCTGGCTGGCCCTGCCGTAACACATGTCCACACCATTCCTCACCATCTCAAACTCGAGAAAATTGCCGTCCGAGGACCACATGGTGGCGATGAACTCGTATACGCCGCCTACAGGTGCTCGGAAGAGACCCGTGTACGAGTCGTAGGAATTACCAACGTTGGTGACTACGTCCTCGTACGCGATGATCTGATTGGTTCCGATAGGGTAGATGGCGTTTTGAAGTCTGGCATGGAACACAATTGGGCCTTCACATGCTGCCGAATGCAAAAAATGTAGCTTTTTTTAAAACATGTTTGTTAATAACATATCTTTTTTTGAGATATTGATAGGATAAACAGCTGATGTAAAAATAATTCTTTTTTAAGATTATTCCAAAAATAAACAAAGTAGTTATCTAATCAAATAAATCAATGTATCTCCAAAAGATTATAATACAAATAGCTTAATTTGCTAAATACTAATTAGAAATACTAAATGGTTTGGATAATGGAGTGGTAAAATAAAAATCACTGAAACTTTAAGCAATAAAAAGACCATACATATAAATAAAAACAAATAAAATACGTAAAATGATTAAGGAAAATATATAAAAATAAATAGCATACTTACTCAGTGCCTGCCTCTTTTGATGATGATTGTCATTTACACTATAATCAGTTGACGTTGCCAGTTCGTTTAAGAGATCATTATAAACAACCTTTTGATTGCTAAGCTGCTTTTTAAGATTATTGTTTAAAGTCTCCAACTTTTGTATTCTCCCTCTAATAATGTCCTCCCCGTTTTCGATACAGTAAACGGCTACAATTGCCAAAACTCCGAAAAAACACCACACCGCAGTCCGAGACGCCATTTTGATGATGGTATTATTGAATTGTAACACATATGTACATTGACCTTTGGTTTCGCCCAGACTTGGTCCTTATCTCGGTAACATATCTCTACTTCAGAAAGAGGCCGTGGTGTTATAGTCATCTGGCTTACTCATTGGCACTCCGTCTTACATTTACTAAGAACTCGATTTGAAGCCTCTTTGGCAGCATGACCTCTAACAGTCTGTGTGTTGGTTTTTGTATTTTACTAGTTACTGTTTCTAGTGCATTTTGTAAAGTTTCCAATGAAGAACGCCTGAGCAAGCTTGAAGCTCAACTGGAGAAAGTCACTTCTGAGCTGAACGACATCAAGAAGCAATGCGCGTGTCAGCAGGGAGACAACTCGTCAAACGCAGCTATGGCGAAGTCCCGTGGTACTGTATCAAGTGTTAAAACGCTTTCACGTAGATATTTATTAAGAGTGTATTTTTTGTTTCTGTTTCAGTTTATTAATTGATATCATCTACACGTTTTACTGATAGACAGATTCGATTTCGTACATTATTATTTTCATTTATGTATGAGGCAATATCATAGTGCACACTGTTAGATATCCCATATCAACGCGCAGAGTTTTTGATTTGATGCTGTTAAATATTCGTATCTCGCATTATCTATCATGTTTAAAAACGCAGCGAAAAAACGCGAATCACTGCACTCGCGAATTATTACAGATATGTTATTTCACGAAGTATAAGTAATATACTGGCAAAACGTTAATGTTGATTTTCATATATTTTGACCCCCCCCCCCATGAATTTCACTCAATGTAAATTCTAAGTGCAAGGGATATGTTTGTTTCGATTATTTAGTAAACCATAAACCATTCCAAATGCCCAAGTGTGTAAAATATATATAATGTCTGGAAGATACAACCGAATAAAAGCACATGCCATTATCATTCATATTGCATGTGGCGCAAATGAGTATCATTTGTGTGTATCACATTAAGGAAAAGAAAACCCGTTTTGATATTTTTGTAATCAATCGGCAGAGCTTAAGAAATCTAAACCACAAAAGTGTGTGCTCGTTTCGTTGTCCAACTCACAGAACATGACAAGAGAAAACCGGTACTGCATGTACCAATTCTTTTTTGTGTTTTCTTGCGTAGACGTAGACGGTGTTTAAAAAATAAAGTATAACCATACAACAATAAAGGGATGCTATGGTTGGGTTGCTCCTCTCAAAAAGAAGCTAAAGGACTTTCATAAAAAATAAATAAAAATAAAATGTACGAATTTTATTTCTTTTAGAAACAAGAGCTACTGATCCATTCGTGGCCTTCGCCGCTACTATCATCAGCGACATGACACCACTAGCCGCCAACGAAGTCATCATCTTCGACAACGTGTACACGAAGGTGGGCGGGGGATACGACCCGTTCATTGGTCGTTTCCAGGCTCCAGTGGCTGGCTACTACCACTTCGTTGTCACCATCATATCTTACCAGTCACACTTTATCGAAATCGAATTAATCCGCGACGGTAGTATGCTCTGTCGTGCGCGTGCATCTCAGACATACAATGCTATGGGAGCATGTGCTTCAAACGTACACCTTAACGTCGGAAGTGACGTTTGGGTTCGACATAGGTCAAGTGTTGGCGACTATATCCGCGGATCATATTTCCCATCGTTTACTGGCCATCTTATTAAAGCTGACTAAATCTTGTAAAACTTGTTTTAGTTAATTGTTGACAAAATTGGAGAAGAACCATCTATTTTAGATCCAGGATATTGATATTGTTGACAAAATAGGAAAGAACCAACTATTCTAAATATCCAGGATATTGGTAATGTTTAGTATGACTTTTTTGTAAGTCTTACTTAAAACACATTAAAGTTGGTCAATGTGGTGAGCTATGCAATGACATACATTTACAATGTAACTCTATCGACATTCCTCTCTAACTAGTGTGGATGGCTTTGTTGCTTATCAGATAGTATGGGCTAGTATAGTATAGTATGTTTACATTCTTACAGACAGAATATGTACTACCGCCGGACCTTTTGTTTCAATTCGGTGAAAATGAAATGAAATTGACACACAATCAATTTCAAATGGAAATGGGCTGGGTAATTCTGGGTAATTAAATATAAATGTATATACAAATGCGTGAATATTAAAGATACAGAAGTGTAAATAGAACCATAATTCGAACTCCAAATTGATGAAACTACGGTTAGAAAATGACAAATGAAAGATTTAAACGGAGACCATTGAAAAAGTCACTGAGAATAAGATCAAGTGTGGCAAACAAATCATAAAAAATGAAAAAGAAGAAAATAAACACTTGATAAAAAGTGTGCTACTGAAGAGGGAACACAATTGTTCCAGTGGATTACTTCAACACCCAGATACCTTAATTTACACTGACCTTTGATTTATAACTGTTATACCTTTAGGAATCTTCATTATCCGGTTATTAGTCCGAATTATTCTGACGTTTATCGACTTTTTTCATATCGGTCTGTCGTCGATTAACGTCAGAACTCCGGCCCTCTATAATATGCGGGAAATATGCGACCCGCGCCCGGAGCGCACTTCAAACTGATATTTTAGAAACAAATCGTCACTTTCACACACATGTCGGACATGGATCGAAAGATCTATTCTTTATGCACTAGGTGGTATCAATAACATGTTTCAAAGATCATTACGAAAAGCATTTTCCAACGTTTTCTATACCAACCCATGTTTTTTATGGAAATTAGGCCATGAGAAATGTCACATGACTTGACGAGATCTCGCGTTACCGAAGGTATTTCCCAACGTTATGACGTAGGCCGGCGAGATTTTAGTCACGTGGCATTGGAAGGCGGGGCTATCAAAAAACTAGAGTAAAACAGAGTAAGTTTGAAAAAATATGTTTTTAGTGATTGTATTAGTTGTTTGAGGCATGTTATGTATGTTCATCTTGTGCATAAAGAATAGATCTTTCGATCCATGTGCGACATGTGTGTGAAAGTGACGATTTGTTTCTAAAATATCAGTTTGAAGTGCGCTCCGGGCGCGGGTCGCATATTTCCCGCATATTATAGAGGGCCGGAGTTCTGACGTTAATCGACGACAGACCGATATGAAACGTCAGAATAATTCGGACTATCCGGTTATTAGCCATCTTTTTGAAATCACAAGGTCTAGGTCAAAAGTAGAAAAACCAGTGACGTAATATTTCACATCTTGACTCATAATCAATTCACATATTTTTTCGCTTTGGCCCAACTCATCTTCCAAGTTTGTTCGTATGAATGTTTATCCAATACAACTGATTTGAAATGTTGCAAATTCTCCCACTTAGGACTCATCAGTGGGGAAACAAAGATGAAGACAATGAAAACTCTTATTTCCAGTCGTCCGAAACATATGTAAGAATACGTAGTAATGCAAACGGTGCCTGTATAACTCTTCATAACGTTACAATTTTTCAATTATGGTTACAACAGATATGTATACTTAAACAAGGCAAAGTATTTCAAGGCAATTCATGGTCCCCCGTCGGTAATGATTTCTATATTTAACAAACAGTACGTTTATGTCAGAAACCATAGGTCAAAGTGAGGTCGTAGTGACCTACTGCTTGCATCTCGCCATTCCAATATGTCCTTGTACAAAGTGTAAACCAACTCTGGTTACAGTAGGTGAAATAGTCTAGAGGATATGCTCCGGACAAACATTTTCAAAAGTAAAGATCAAATGTCAAGTCGCACGTCAAAGTGACCTAATTCCTGCACTCCGCACTCCGCCATCCCAATATGTCCTTATACAACACATCTGGATAATTCCAGGTGAAATAGTTTAAAAGATATGCACCGGACAAATGTATTCAAAAGTAAAGTTCAAATGTCAAGTCATAGGTCGCAATGACCTAATTTTTGCACTCTGCACTCCGCCATCACAATATGTCCTTATACACCGAATCTGGTTACTCTAGGTGAAATAGTATAGAAGATATATCCCGGAGAATTTTCTCGGACGGAAGGACGGACGGAGTGCAAACCTATATCTCCCCCTTCCCGCCCGGAAACCGACAAGGGACTAATAAGTACATGTATCTCATGTAAATTTACCACTAAATTACCTGGCAACAAGCCATGTGTCAACTTTTGGAGGTTGATAGTGCACAAGCAGAGTCCACTACATCATCTCTCAAAAATATAAATAAATGTACAACATTTGACAAAGCGCCCCATCTAGCTCAAATAAGCCACTCTGAAACGCTTTACAGTACACATATAGTCAGTTTATACAATCAATACACTTAATATATATATAAAATAATACATTAATTTAATCAATACAATTTTGAGGAATTCACAGGAGCTGCCTTATCCGGCGCTAACTATTAGTCCTACGCCACCTGTCATAAATTTCCCTATGCGTGTATGCCTGCTTGTGTGCTGGCATCCTCGATATCCAAAGGTTACGCTCACATTCGCTCTCTACACCCCTGGAATATGTGATAGCAAAATTGAAGGCACGAAGATAGCTGTTTGATTGGTCTCAGGTAAAAAAGCCTGACCAATCGCTAGGCTGATACCTGTCCTTTGAAGATTACAAAGGAGAGACGCCCGACTTCAAAAGCCTGTCATTTTTTACCGTTACGTGACCGCGAGATTCTTTTGATGTACATCAAAGGATCGAACTAGCTGTCTTGTCTCATCAACAAGGTGGCGCTCACTTAGCCTTCAATTTTGCTATGACATATTCCAGGGGTGCAGAGAGCGAAAGTTAGCGTAACCCCTGGATACCGAGGATGGTGTGCTGGACATGTGTTGTCTTCTGTGTGTCAAAATACTATAAATACCAAGAAGGAACATATTTAGAATTTTGGTTATGGCGAGACAGAGAGCAAAACAAAGTAAACGTTTTACTTTTTCATTTCGCCATTTCGTCCATTATGGACTCATGAGTAGTGCGTTATTATTATTAAAAGTAAAATAAAAAAATCCATATCGAAATTATTTAGATAAATTGCCATTATAAATCGGAGATAAAGAGATCGCTATACCATTATATCTTTCCTCGTGTCAGTATGTTGCCATTTTATCTATTTCTCTGAACTGTAAAGGACACATCTCATACTAAAAGTGTTTTTAATCGACCTTAATCGGGTGTACTGTAACAAACTGGAACCTGGACTATAGATATACCGTCATATACATGTACAATGTACGTACTGTTAACGCATATGAAATGTAAACAATGCAGCCTTACCTGTTACAAGTTTCATGTTAATTACCAGGTAACAGGTGCATGTTTTGTATCACTAATCAACAGTGAAGGAGGTTTGGCCTTTCCACACATAGCATACCAAACACAATTAACACGGATAAACCCACAGGGGCATGGATCGCTTTACTTGTAATATTAAAAAAGGGTCTCCTATACTAATAAATACAAAGGGATATAACGACAGACTGAAATCCGGTATCCCCTTTTCTCTTTCAGCTCGTGTCAATCACAAATCTTTGTCCATATTTGATATACCTCGGTTGAATATTGAAGACAAATGATTTATTTACAAAATGAAACCATAATTACGACTGTCTGACACATAGTTATCCACTGACACCGCTTTAAAGTCCCACTTACACCGTTAAATTGCGATCGAACCAAATTCTATACTCACGAGAAATGACCAAGTTTCACGGATAAACTCGAGAAATATATCCAAGGAATGGTTTATATCCTTATTTAATATCCTCAATCCAATACATGTGTTGCCCGCATCTCAAAAATACTACCTCGATCAGTTTCAACACATGACAAGCGGTATGTCGGGATTTTCCCCCTCGCACACCTGCATTCCACAGTTGGCTACCTGTATGTATGCGAAAGGGAAGCTACTCCAAAAAAGTTTGTTTTTCATTTGTTTTCCGCCACTGATGGGGCGGGACATCATTCTGTGCGGAGCGTAAAATAATTCGGAAAAAGATGGCGCCTAGTTGTCGACTGCTACTGTGTAATGCAAGTGTGCGAGGGGGAAAATCCCGATATACCACTTGTCATGTGTTGAAACTGATCGAGGTAGTATTTCAGAGAAGCGGGCAACACATGTATTGGATTGAGGATATTAAATAAGGATTTAAACTATTCCTTGGATATATTTCTCGAGTTTATCCGTGAAACTTGGTCATTCCTCGTGATTATAGAATTTGGTTCGATCGCAATTTAACGATGTAATTGCGACTTTAAAGTGGTGTCAGTGGATAACTATGTGTCAGACAGTCGTAATTATGGTTTGATTTTGTACATAAATCATTTGTCTTCAATATTCAACCGAGGTATATCCAATATGGACAAAGATTTGTGATTGACACGAGCTGAAAGAGAAAATGGGGTACCGGATTTCAGTCTGTCGTTATATCCCTTTGTATTTATTAGTATAGGAGACCTTTTTTTAATATTACAAGTAAAGCGAGCCATGCCCCTGTGGATAAACCAGTTGTGTTTTGATAAATGCCTATCATCGATGAATCCTTATACCGGCTATCGACTCCACCCAATTCACTACGTATATGTACTAGTGTTGTACCTGACAGTTCAATACCATTATTGGTCATTTAATTATGTGGAGCGTGCATTGAAGATCGTTTACAGAAATACACTGAAAAATGGAGTTTAAATGTCAATATAGAAAAAACTAAAATGATTGTTTTTAGAAAAAGAAAAA